TGGTTTTGTGTATGACACTATAAGTTTTAAAAAGCTTATTAAAAACAAAACAAACACCAATGAGTCCACAATGTTATTCAAAAAGAGAGAGAGAGAAACACTTTGTTGGTGGCCTTTGGAAGTAACTAGAAGAATAACACCTTAAGGTCGGAAAATTGGACACTAACGAGGGAAACTTCCTTTCTTGTACAGACTGTACTTCAGTGTAACTCAAATAGCCCAACTTGATGAGGGAAAGGTCTTCTTTACAAATTATTTCTGATTAATAGATGTGGAATTAACAACGGAATTAGAAAATTATCAATCAATAAACCCTCGTGAAAATAATCCAGGCGAAGATCACTCTAGTAGTTACCTATTGCTACTAACAGATTACCTCAAAATGTAGCAGCTTAATAATGTCTTTTTTTTTTTCAACGTTTATTTATTTTTGGGACAGAGAGAGACAGAGCATGAACGGGGGAGGGTCAGAGAGAGAGGGAGACACAGAATCGGAAACAGGCTCCAGGCTCTGAGCCATCAGCCCAGAGCCCGACGCGGGGCTCGAACTCACGGACCGCGAGATCGTGACCTGGCTGAAGTCGGATGCTTAACCGACTGCGCCACCCAGGCGCCCCAAAATGTAGCAGCTTAAAACAAACATGTCACTGGGGCACCTGGGTGGCTCGGTAGATTGAGCGTCTGGTGTCATCACAGGTCATGACCTCCTGGGTTGTGAGTTCAAACCCCAAGTTGGGCTCTCTGCTGTCAGCACAGAGCCCGCGTTGAGTCCTCTGTCCCCCTCTCTCTGCCTCTATCTCAAAAATAAGTAAACGTTCATTTTTGAAACACAAAATAAATCTGGAATCTGGGCCTGGCTTAACTGGGTGCCCCTGGCTCAGGGTCTCCCACTGGGTTGCAGTCAGCTGCCTTCTCCAGGCTCAACAGGGGGAAGGTCTGCTCCCAGGTTCACTCATGTGGCTGTGGGCTGATCTCAGATCCTCGCCAGCTGTTGACCAGAGATACATCAATTACTTCCACAGGGACCTCTCCATAGGGCATCTCAGAAGAGGGCAGCTAGCTTCGCTATGAGGTAGCAAGTAAGAGCAAGAGAGGGAGTCCAAGAGAGAACCAAGGTAGAACCAAGATAGACTTTTTTTAGTAACTTACAAAATAGAAGCCACAGTTTTTGCGTAACTTAATCTTGAAAGGAGATGCTGTTACCTTTGCTGTATTCTATACATAGAAGCAAATCGTAAGTCTCGCTTAGACTCCTGGGAGGAAATTACACAAGGGTGTAACTACTGGGAGGCAGAGGTCACTGGAACCGTCCTAGAGGATGCCAACTGTAATCGTCAACGGATGGAAGCCATCAGGTGAAAGGTTGAGGGGTCACCACCTGGATCCACTACTCAATCTCAAAATCACTAAAGCAGGAACAACCAGATATTGTTTGCCTTGTTGTGAGGCTGTCTGAAGTACACAGCGTCACCTAACAAAGTATTCTTTCGAAAAACAGTTGAGCCTGAAAATAATTAAACTTGTAGCAAACATCCAATTTACAAGAAATATGGATAATGGGAGAAGTTAAATGACACCATGAGGGTCCAAATCTCATTTGTGGGAACTTCCACAGGACAACAGACGTAGTTCCTCAGTAAGTCACTTGGATGAAAAAACAATGAAGAATTGCTCTAGGTGAAAAGAACTTTATGAGGCCAAACAATCAAATGCAATCTTTAGACCTTGCTTGGATCCTGATTTAAACAAATCAACTAGAAAAAGGAACTTTTGAGACAATAAGGGGATTTTAAATATGGATAAATAAATGGTACCAAGGAATTACTGTTAATCTTCTTGGTATAATAATGGTATCAGGGTTATGAAAGAAAATGTGCATAATTTTCTGAGATGCACACTCAAGCATATAAGGATGATATCTTAGACATGAAACCTAAAATTTGCTTTAAAATACTTCAGCAGGGGTGCCTGGTTGGCTCAGTCCATAGAACATGCGAATCTTGATCTCGGGGTTGTAAGTTTGAGTCCCACGTTGGGTGTAGAGATTACTTAGAGAAATAAAATCTTTAAAAAAATATTTCAGCAGACACAGCAAACCCAGTAACAAAAGGAATAGATTAACTAAGTGTGGGAAAATCGTAATAAATATTGAATCGAGGTGATGAGGATGTGCAGGTTCATTACACAATTTTATTTATTTTTATGACTGTTTAAGTATTTTCATAGCAAAAATGGGAAGAAAGATGTCAGGACTAGATGGTTTTATAGCTGATTTCTAGCTAGATTTTAAAGAATAAATATATATTTTTTAATGTTTACTGATTTCTTTATTTTGAAGGGAGAAGGGGCAGAGAGAAGGAGAGAGAAAATCCCAAGCGGGATACACACCTAGCATGAAGCCTGACTTGGGGCTCAATCCCATAACTGCGAGATCATGACCTGAGTCAAAATCAAGAGGTGGACACCCAACCGACTGAGCCATCCAGGTGCCCCAAGAGGAAATATTCTCTCTTTTTTAAAGCTTTTATGTATGTATGTATTTTTTTTTTAAGAGAGAAAGAGAGGGCATGAGTGAGCAAGGGACAGAGGGAGAGGGAGAGAGAATTCCACGAAGGGCAGAGAGAGAGAGAGAGAGAGAATCCCACACAGGCTCTGCACTGTCATCACAAAGTCCAAAGTGGGGCTTAAGCTCACCCCGTGCAAGCTTTGAACTCAGGAACCGTGAGATAATGACCTGAGGCCAAGCTGGATTCTTAGCCAACTGAGCCACCCAGGTGCTCCAAGAATAAATATGTCTAATATTTAAATAGCTATGGCCTCATACAAAATGATAACTCCCCAACTCATTTTATGAAGGTCACATAACTTTAAAGAATTTTTTTAACTATAACATACACGAAGAAAAGTTGACAGAAGTGCATAGCTGGGGAGATTTTTGCATGCTCAACACAACTGGGCACACAGATGAAAAAACAGAATATTATGAGCACCCCAGAAACCTCCCTCATGCCCATTTCTCATGCTGAAGGTATTCATTATGCTGAAGGTAAAATCCAATTAAAAAAAAATTGTACCAGGGGTGCCTGGGTGGCTCAGCCAGTCAAGTGTCCGACTCTTGGTTTCAGTTGAGGTCATGATCTCACTGTACGTGAGATTGAGCTCCGTGTTGGGCTCTGTGCTGACAGCATAGACCCTGCTTGGGATTCTCTCTCTCCCTCTCTGCCCCTGCTCATGCACCCTCGCTCACTTGCTCTCTCTCAAAATAAATGAAAATAAATAAACATTTAAAAAATAGTGCCAAAATAGGAAAACATAGACTAACTTGACTTAAATGGAGGCAGATTTTCTAAATAAAATATTAGGAACTAGAATCCAGAAATACATTTTAATATCTACACATACACATATATTATTAATCATTTATTTGCTTATCATTATTTCTTTAAAAAAATTTGTTTATGTTTATTCATTTTTGAAAGACAGAATACAAGCAGGGGTGTGGCAGAGTGGGGGGGGGGGGGTGGGTGGTGGACAGAGAATCTGAAGTAGGCTCCAGGCTCCGAGCTGTCAGCATAGAGCCCCAAGCGGGGCTCAAACTCACGAACCATGAGATCATGACCTGAGCCAAAGTCGGATGCTCAACTGACTGAGCCACCCAGGCGCCCCTATTTCTTTTTTTTTCTTTAATTTTTATTTGTTTTTGAGAGAGGGCAATCAGGGGAGGGGCAGAGAGAGAGAGAGAGAAAGAATCCAAAGCAGACTCCAGGCTCTGAGTTGTCAGCACAGAGCATGATGCAGGGCGCAAACCCACAAACTGAGATTATGACATGAACCAAAGTCAGACGCTTAACCAACTGAGCCACCCAGGTGCCCCATTAACTTATTTTGTAATTTCTTCCTTTTTCTTACTGTGATATTCTCTCTCAGTGCTATCTTTCAACTCACTAATCCTCTGTCTTAAGATATATCCAGTATACCACTGAGATAATTTATTGAGGGACATTATAATTATTATTTTACTTCCAGTAATTAGATTTTTCACTTTCAGGATTTCCAAATTGTTTTTTTTCAAATCTTCCTGTTTTTATTTCATAAATGCTACTTCCTTCCTCATGTCTTCGAGCAGTTAACATATTATTAAGTTCGCAGATTGATCTCTATATCCTCAGGGGTTAATTCTTCCATTTGTTAAATTTACCAACTAGTTTTATGATAATATACTTCTTCGTGTGCTTACACTTAAATTTTTTTTTCAACGTTTTTTATTTATTTTTGGGACAGAGAGAGACAGAGCATGAACGGGGGAGGGGCAGAGAGAGAGGGAGACACAGAATCGGAAACAGGCTCCAGGCTCCGAGCCATCAGCCCAGAGCCTGACGCGGGGCTCGAACTCACTGACCGCACACGAGATCGTGACCTGGCTGAAGTCGGACGCTTAACCGACTGCGCCACCCAGGCGCCCTCGTGTGCTTACTTTTTAAAGAGGTATTCTTGGGGCGCCTGGGTGGCGCAGTCGGTTAAGTGGCCGACTTCGGCCCAGGTCATGATCTCGCGGTCCGTGAGTTTGAGCCCCGCGTGGGGCTCTGTGCTGACAGCTCAGAGCCTGGAGCCTGTTTCCGATTCTGTGTCTCCCTCTCTCTGACCCTCCCCCATTCATGCTCTGTCTCTCTCTCTGTCTCAAAAATAAATAAACGCTAAAAAAAAAAAAAAAAAAAAAATTAAAGAGGTATTCTTACTTGGTAGTTCTTCTTCCTCGGAATCCTTACCTTTCACATGATCCAGATTTGCCTCAGCCTTGGTCCAGATGGGTTTCACAAGTCCAAACCTGGTCTTACCCAAGCAGATCAATTCGAATTTTTTTCTCTGTATTAATGGCTTGATTTTGGACTTCCATGAATATTGTATGGATCCAGTTCTTATGTTCCATGGCTCCTCCCCTCTGCTTCTTTACTTTTCATGTATAAGTTCAACGCTGTCAAAAGCAAAATCTACATCCAAGATATTTTAAGAAGCTACAGGTTTTATTTAAGAGGAAGTTGTACTTTTTGGATAATCAACCTGAGGATAAATGACTAAAGACCTATAAACTAGAGGGGGGGAAATAACACCAGGCATCTGCTGGCTCTCCACAAATCTCTTCTCACTGTTGTATTTTATATTTATGAATGAATCTGAAGTACCGTGCTTGAACTTCACGATCCCCTTGTAATACCTCCACTCCAGATCCCTTAGATCCATGAATTGTTTTTCTGCAAAGAATCACATTTTCAAAGAATTACATGACGGAGTGACTTAACCTTCAGTTACCCAGAGATGCTTCATGAACAGAATGAAACTTAGATGAACTGGAGTCTCCTTCTCCCTTCTGGTGGAAAGCTGTTTCTAGAGCTTTATAAACTAAAAGGTCACCTAAAGTGTTCATCTGATCTAGAGCTTTCCTCCAAATAGGAAATTGGGTGGGTCTAGCTAACTGGGCTGGAGTGGATGCTGCAGGGCCATAGCAGGTGCATGGGCTCTCATTTGGTGCTTGGATATTATAATGTACAAATGGAGAGACCCTACAGAGCACTGAGGTCAACAGGGAGGATCCTAATGAGGGCTTAATACAGGGACAACGATTGGTTAGAAGTACATAGACTGCTAGTGTCATTTTTTCCAAGATGTTGTCTTAAGCCCTGGGTATAAAATGGCAGTGGCTTAGCTAGAATTTGGCTGTTTCCCCTACTTTTTCAGGACCTACTAATTTGGGGTATCACTAGTGGTTACAATCCCTTCAAGAAGGGATCTTTTAAACATTTATTTTATTTTTGAGGGAGAGACAGAGAACATGAGAGAGGAGGGACAGAGAGCGAGGGAGAGAGAATCCTAAGCAGGCTCTGTGCTGTCAGCGCAGGGCCCGATGTGGGGTTTGAACTCATGAACCGTGAGATCATGACCTAAGCTGAAATCAAGAGTCTGGCACTTAACTGACTGAGCCACCCAGGTGCCCCAAGAACAGATCTTTTAATGACTAAATTGTAAACCACCACCACCCCTCAAAAGAGAGAAAAAAAAAAAAAAAAAAAAAAAAGCAAGGCCCAAGGCAGATTTGAGTGTAAAGCCAGAGGCCAAAGAGCCAAGATGGTAAATGTAATACAAGGAGAATAACGGTACAGCAAACAAGGAGGAAGTCTGATCTATTTCTCTCTTACTATTGAGTTAATACCTTCCCTAGCGGAATAGATACTGGAGCAGGCTATTGGTGGTGAACACTGGGGGTCAACAGTCCTTCCCTAAGGGCAGTTACCAACTGTCAGGGAGTTTAACAAGATCTTGGCAGGCCTGGCATCGGAAGATCTGGTTATAGAAGGAAGGAAAGGGATATCTGACAAGAGAAAGCCACAGAGTTGATTATTTTGATTACCACAGAGCTTTATGTTGTGATCCGTGGTAGATACCATTCCATTCCATACCCATTAGGGTCCTCTTCTATAGAAGAGGGTCACCCTCTGACTATAGAGGGTGAAAAGCTAAGATCTCTAGTCACCACCCAGCAGTAAGGGGTGGCTATTGGATGCAATTCTGACCAATGAGATGTAGGGAGAAGTCACTAGAGGAGGAGTGTTTGAGGAAGTTTTGCTTTTCTATTAAAAGAGAACAGAAGTGGGGTGCCTGGGTGGCGCAGTCGGTTAAGCGTCCGACTTCAGCCAGGTCATGATCTCGCGGTCCGTGAGTTCGAGCCCCGCGTCAGGCTCTGGGCGGATGGCTCAGAGCCTGGAGCCTGTTTCCGATTCTGTGTCTCTCCCTCTCTCTCTGCCCCTCCCCCGTTCATGCTCTGTCTCTCTCTGTCCCAAAAATAAATAAACGTTGAAAAAAAATTAAAAAAAAAAAAGAGAACAGAAGTAGCCAATATGGTCCTTTGTCTTAGCCCCCTTTCCTGCCCGGAATGTGGCCATAGTACCTGGAGGTGAAGGAGACCTCTTTTGTCCATGAAGACAAAAGCCACACACGAAAAGGTGGTGGAGCCTGGGTCCTTGACAATATAAAAAAGCCTTGTCCCAACACTGTCTGCCTGCCTCCAGACTTCTAAGTGTACAAGAAAAATAATCTTCATTTGCTTTCTCTGTCAAACACATTCTTAACCTACATGGTCCCACATGATTTAGCCTGAGCAAGAGTAACTGATGTGATAGAAGAAGAAAATGGCAGCACCCACTCTCTTTTCCTCCCCCAGTGCCTGATGCTAGTAAGGATATGTTCTATAACATTCTTTGGTACACTAGGAGTCCTAAAGTTCTCCTGGGCTGAGAATACTTTAGAAACTGGCTGGCTGATAAAATAATAGTAATGCTGGGGAATATAGGACTGTAAAAGATGAACTGTTACAATACCAGTTAAACCTAAGAAATTACTGGGTATTCTTCATAGGGATGCCTACCTGGCTTCATGCATGTTCCTTGAACAGACAGGATGCGTGCCTGAAATCCTACGTAAGGATCTGAGGAAACGAGGTCATGAAGACAGAGAAGAAACTCTAACACAGAGTCTGGAAGGCCACACGAGAGAGCTGGAGAAGTTAGGTAGCCAGGGAAGGGAGGACAATTTGTTGCCTGTGGGTGTGGCAAAACCACAAACATCCTATGAAGCATCCAAAGCCTTCAGTACTTTTCAATAAGCTCTGGCAGTATCTACTGATTACCAATACTTTCCATGACTTTTCCTCTCTGGCCCAAGGCTTGACCTTATGCACTTCTGTGGATTATCTAGGCCATTCCTATAATTGCCCCGATTTCTACTTCTGCCTGGGCTCCAGAACACACAAAGTGTGACTCTACCGAAGGAATCTGAAACCTGCATTAGACTCTGTCAGGACATCAGTGTGGGGAGTTACGGCAAAGACTGTTGCAGTATCTTGGACCAGATACGAGCAAATTAATCCATCTGTGCCTTTAAGTTTGCTCCTCTGTCTCTCCCACGACTTTTAATATAAAAATGGTGTTGTCAAAATATTTGCGGTGCAGATGGTTTCTCTTGAGTCGAACCTACTTCAGAAAGGCTCAAATATTTTATATCGTTGATTTAATCTATCGTTTTTTTACAGCTACACAGACTCACAAATTATTACCTCCCTCAAATTAAGGAAAATGGAGACCTTATAAGACACTCCCTTCTCATTAAAACTCGCCACCATATATTTCCAACTTTCTCTGAATAATCTTTGGTCTTTTATGAATACCTCCCTATTAAAGAATCAGAAATGAAGGGAGGAGTTTCCTCTTGTTAATGTAACAGTAAAGAAGAGGTAAAGGTTCATGAAAAAGTATCTAAAAAAGCTCTCAGTTGCATTAAAGCCAAGATGCTTGAGAAAAAGAATTTTTCTTCCAGTAAATTATCTTTACTGGAAAAAATTATCTTCCAGTAAATAATTGGCTAAGTTCACGTAACAAGAAAGAATAGTTATGAGTGCTTTAGAGGCCAAGCTTAACCTGCTCGTGTTGTAAAGGTGAGTGTAAGGACTGCATCTATACTCCTTTTTGAGACTGGACCTGAGATTTGACCCTGGAATGTTCGAGTCTCTGTTCTCTACCTCGTGTTGGCGCTGTAGGCGGCCAGCAGCACATCAGTCGTGGACACCGTGACTGCCAGGTTCCCGGGGGTCACTATTTGACTATTTTGGCTCCGGCAACCTAAGTCAAAATTGCAGTCAGATTTCCACGAATTTCATCTCACACATCTTCATCCGTGTAGATTACCTGGATCAACTAAGAAGTACTTAGCAATTCTGTGCTCAAAGGTGAAATTTTCTGGCATGATCCTGGAAATGCCCAGCCCGTGTAATATGTTAATTCTCTGAGTCTTCTGCGTGGGGAACAGTGACGAGGAGCTGGAGTGATCGATGAGAATCTCATGAGGAAAAGTGTGTGCAGGGGGAGGAATTCCACTCCGCAAGAGCCTCTGTTGGGATCTGGAGAGTCCCTTCCCCGGAGAGGTTGAGCTGGTCAACAAGCTTCGGTACAGCAGTTCGGTCATCGATTCTGGTTGCTCCTTTTCTTTCCTAACCACCTTGCATGTGAAAATGGGCCGAGGGTCTTCATCCCTCACATCAGCTCCACTGGTGAATGACATGGCATTGAGGTTTTGACTAAGCATTTCCTGTGCCTCACTAGGTGAAATACCGTGAGTTTTTCGGAGACTCGATTTCTTGCTCTCCTTATTAAAATTCTCAAGAAATGCATAAAATTCTGGCAGCTGTAGGACAAAGAGTGGGGAGTCATGAGATTAGTGAAAATGTAATTGTCTGGTGGACCCATAAACCCTAGAATAAAGAGGATAACAAACAACCATGAAAACAGAAGCATTGGAGCGCCTGGGTGGCTCTTGGTTTTGGCTCAAGTCATCACCTCACAGTTTGTGAGATCAAGCCCCGAGTTGGGCTCTGCGCTGACAGTGTGGGGCGGAACCTGCTTGGGTTTCTCTCTCTCTCCTCTCTCTGCCCTTTCCACCTCTCAAAATAAAGAAATAAACAAAAATAAAACAAAACAGGAGCATCTATCTTAGGGAAGATATGTCTGCCTCACTGACCCGAGTTAATAATGAATGACAATGTGGAACCGAGACCAAAGGGTCAAATCTCTCAGTCATTCCCAGAAAGACATATTTAAAAACAAATTTTTTTTAAGGTGTATTTTATTTTTGAGAGAGAGAGAGTGTGAGCAGGAGAGGAGCAGAGAGAGAGGGAAACATGGAATCTGAAGCAGGTTCCAGGCTCTGAGCTGTCAGCACAGAGCCCGACGCGGGGCTCGAACCCACGAACTGTGAGATCATGACCTGAGCTGAAGTCGGATGCTTAACTGACTGAGCCACCCAGGCGCCCCTCCAGAAAGACATATTATTAAGTACATGTCACTGGAACCCTCCATTATGAAAGGAGCCCATCAAACTTAGACTCTAAACTCTATAAGGTTTTTCCACTGTGAAATTCAGTGAGCTGCAATGGAGAGAAAGAGCTGTGGGGGGTTGCAGCCTTTGTTTTGAGGAAGGCTACATTTCTCTTAAGGAAGAAAGAGAGCCAGATAGTATGGATATCAAAGCTTCATCCTGGTGTCCGAAGGGCTCAGAATGTTCTGGAATGCAGTGCAAAGGAAACTATAAAAGTCCTAATTCACGGAGATATTTTACCAAAGCAAAATAGTTACATCTGTGGGGTGTTTGGCAGTAGTTGTTGGCAAAGACAAAAATATTCCTCAGAGTACCTTTCTTATTTAAAATCCCGTATTGGAGGAATAAAATATCATTTTCCAGAGCATCTTGCCTCTTCATTCCATTATCCCTAAGAAGCTTCTTAGGCCACTCAGCTGGAAGGCCAAAAAGGCCAAAGTGAGAGCCCAAATTTGGATCAGTCAGCCCAACGCAGGGCTCCCCTTCGGTCCTAGGCACTTCTGTGCAACAGCAACAAATACAGAGCGGGCTAAGGTGGGTGAGTGGCATTTTCAGTTGGTTGCCATTATCACGAAGACAACTTAGCTCTCACACTGGCCCGCCCACGGAAGTGTTGCCTTTCACTGGGACAAAAGAGCATAAGTCAGTGAAGAGGAATGTCTGTATTCCCTGTGGCCCCCAGGCTTGTCACCGGTATTCAGTAGCTCCACATTTTTCCCCCCACAATGTTTGAATGTAAAGTTTCCCGTGTAGATTATGACAGAATTGTAAGCACGTACTGAACACCTGGGAGGCTTGTCCGCCGCCTCATCTTCAGTTGCATCGGTGGCCCCGGTGGGGAGCATTGTGCTGGGATTTTATTCCCAACTTCCTGACAAAGCAATACAAGAGAAGACAAAGTGAAAGATGAAACATCCAGCAAAGTATACTGGCGGGGGTAACACCTTTACAGTCTCTAAAACTTCATAAGCGGGGCCCTTTTGGGTTTTTTTCATGCAAGTTAGTTCACATGCAGTGTAGTCTTGGTTTCAGGAGTAGAACACAGTGATTCATCTCTTACGTAGGAGGACACCCAACGCCCATTCCTAAAAGTGGCCTCCTTAATGCCCATCACCCAATCAGCCCATCCCCCCACCCACTTCCCCTCCAGCAACCCTAAGTTTGTCCTCTGTATTTGAGAGTCTCTTATTACATTTTAAATTTTGAACTTTTAAACTTTTATACCATTTTAAGTTTTCTTCTTCCTTTAGGACTATCGAATTACTCACATGCCCATCAAATGTTTTCTCTGAAACACCTCAAATTCTTACATGACATATATCCTCAGGCATTTCATACTAACTCAAAGAATCCTATATGGGTGGTTTAAGATTTTTGTCTTACATATTTGAACAACTTTCAGTTTATCCAAAGAAAAACTCACTTATTCGTTACTCAGGAAAAGTACTTTTTATTCAAGAGGAAAAGGCCAATGATAATAATAATGATAATAAAATAACAACAACAATGAACATTTTGAAATAATTTGCTTTGAGCCAGATATGCCAGTATGCATTTTACAGATGGACTTGAATTTAATCCCTTTGTGAGGGATTAAATGGCCACAGATGGGTGCCCAGCTGACTCAGTCAGTAGAGTGTGTGACTCTTGATCTCAGGGTTGAGTTTGGGCCCCATGGTGAGTATAGAGGTCACTCAAAAATAAATTCTTAAAAAAAAGAAAGAAAGAAACAGCACAGAATCTTTACAGTTGGTCTCATCAGTAAGTGGCAGTCTAGTCTGCTCCCACATTTGGCCGTGGGCTGGCCTTATGCTTGGGTTTGACCAACACCATGAGGGCTTGTCTTTGACCGACAGCATGTGGTGTAAGTGGCCTTGTATGAATGCCAGAGCCTAGGCCTTGAGCTTTGGAGCTCTGCTTCACACTCTTGGAATTCCGAGCCACCATGCAAAAACCAACCACTAGACATGTAAGTGAGACCATCCGGAATCACCCAGCCCCATTCGAGGCTCCAGATAGCTACAGCTGCATGAGTGACTCCAAATGATCCCAAATGAAGAACAACAGCCACTCAGCTGAGCTGGCCACCTCCAAAATTATGGCAAATAATGAATTACAGGGGCACCTGGGTGGCTCAGTCGGTGAAGACCTGACTCTTGGTTTCTTCTCAGGTCATGATCTCATGGTTTTTGAGTTCAAGCCCCATGTCAGCCCCATGTGCTGTCAGCACAGAGCCTACTTGGGATTCTCTCTCTCCCTCTCTCTCTCTGTCCCTCCCTTACTTGTGCTCCCTCTCTCTCTCAAGATAAATAAACATTAACATTTTTTTAAAAATTAATTATAGGGGCTCCTGGGTGGCAAAGTCGGTTAAGCATCCGACTTCAGCTCAGGTCATGATCTCACAGTCTGTGAGTTCGAGCCCCGTGTCGGGCTCTGTGCTGACAGCTCAGAGCGTGGAGCCTGCTTCAGAATCTGTGTCTCCCTCTCTCTCTCTGCCCCTCCCCTGCTCATGCTCTGTCTCTCTCTGTCTCAAAAATAAATAAAAACATTTAAAAAAATGTTTTAAATGAATTATAGTCATTTCAAGACACTAAGGTTTGAGCGGACTGTTACACAGCAATAAATACTAGATAAACCCCACAATCTTCACATTCTTGATTTAATTTATTCCAGTGAAACCTCTGTTGGAGATCTGGGAATGTAGGAGGGAAAATACGTTCCTGGGAACCACTGTATCCTGACTAGTAGCTGCAGTAACTGGGATGAGAATCAGAGAAGAACCAAAAGTGTTTGGGATGAAGCAACAACAATTAGGTTCTTCTTCTGTTCCTGGCAAAGCAGGAAAACCCAGAATGGGGGCACCTGGTGGTTCAGTTGGTTGAGCATCGACTCCTGCTCAGATCATGATCTCGTGGTTCATGAGGTCGAGCCCCACATCAGGCTTGCGGCTGTCAGCACAGAGCCTGCTTCAGATCCTCTGTCCCCCCCTCCCCGCCCCTCCCCTGCTTATGCACGCTCTCTCTCTCAAAAGTAAACATTAAAAAAAGCAAAAGAAAGAAAAATCCAGAATAAATAGAAAGAGGTGCAAGTACATATATCCAAATATATTACAGTCACTAGTGAGTACACTATGTCAATATCTATGACCAAACAAAGACAATATAATGCAGCATGATGACCCCCTTTCCTACATTTGCATGGTGGCTCCATAAACATGTCTATCACCACCAGTTAAAATAAGACTTGATTGTACTTTTGTTAGTTCTTGCAAAGGAAAATATTTCTCTAGCTTCCTTCATCTGAAACCTCTCAGCGTCTCCCAGGCAGCCACCTGTCTTCTGGTGGTGCCACCCACCGGGAGAGGACTGCCTTTTCCCATGACGGGGGGGGACACTATGTTTTTCTCCCTTCTCCTCCCCTTAAAGAAGGCTTGGCTCGAGCCCCAACTACACGCGCAGGCTGAACTTTAATCCGAATTGCTGATGCAGACGAATGATTTCCAACATCAGTGGCCCGTCTTGCAACGCTTCATACATATATTCAAAGCAATATTTGAGAAATCTGTACTCATTTCATTACCGTGAGATTGACAATAGGGAATGGGACACAAGACAGGTTAGCTTCTTGCTGTGTCTCTTTGCAGAATTACTATTGAGGACACCTCACACCTCTCTCATGTTGAATGCTATTAACAGATCATTAGCTCAAAGATGCTTTTTAAAAATTTATTTGTTTTTAATTTTTTTTAACGTTTATTTATTTTTTGAAGGAGAGAGAGACAGAGTGTGAGTGGAGGAGGGGCAGAGAGAGAGGGAGACACAGAATCCAAAACAGACTCCAGGCTCCAGCTGTCAGCACAGAGCCCCACACGGGGCTCGAACCCACAAACCGTGAGATCATGACCTGAGCCGAAGTTGGACGCCCAACCGACTGAGCCACCCAGGCGCCCCTCAAAGATGCTTTTATCCATTCTGATTCTGACTTCACTAACATACTTCTCACTTTGGGCTATTCCCCATTGACTAAACCTTAGAGTAGCCCTTTATTTTATTTTATTTTATTTTATTTTTAATTTTTTTAATGTTTTTATTTATTTTTGAGACAGAGAGAAACAGAGCATGAGCAGGGGAGGGGCAGAGAGAGAGGGAGACACAGATACTGAAGCAGGCTTCAGGCTCTGAGCTGTCAGCACAGAGTCCGACACGGGGCTCGAACTCACAGACTGTGAGATCATGACCTGAGCTGAAGTTGGATGCTTAACCGACTGAGCCCCACGGGCACCCCCAAAATTGCATTCTTGAAGGCAATACTGACTTCTTAATCAATTGTAATGTTGTTTTTACAGTCCTCATTTTTATCCATCTCAACTCTTAACTACCCCTTTGTTTTGAAACTGATTCTTAAAAACTATCTTACCTATTCTTTCCAAATTCATTGCCATGACTCTAATAAGAAGCCTGATTAACTGGGATGTGTGGCTGGCTCAGTTGGTTAAGCATCTGACTTGTGATTTCAGCTCAGGTCATGATTTCATGGTTCATGGGTTCGAGCGCCACATCAGACTCTGTGCTGATGGCACGGACCCTGCTTGGGATCCTCTCTCTCCCTCTCTCTCTGCCCCTCCCCTGACCATGCTGTCTCTCTCTCTCTCTCTCTCTCTCTCTCTCTCTCTCTCAAAATAAACTTTAAGAAGACTGATTGACTTCAAATCAAACTATTCTAGTTCATTTCCTAGCCCTTATGTTGTTGTTTTTATTTTTGTAATCTATCCTAAGTCACCTCTTTATCCAACCATTCATTAGTCCTTTTTTTCTAATTTGGTTCTTTACTACTCACTTTTAGGATAAGATTTATATCTTCCTGATCAGACTTACAAAACTAACCACAATCTGCTTCTAACGCTTTCCCACGATCTAAAAATCATATTTCTATGCCACCGCAAGGCTATAACGTCTTCTCCATTTCAGCCAGCTGGCCCAATTCATTTTTTTCTGAAACAATCTCCTGTGCTTCTGTGCATCCTTGCTTGAGTCTGTGCTTACTCTGACTTCTCATTTAATCAGCCAGGATGCCAATCCAGCATTCCTTCTCTTTTATATAAATCTAAATAAAAATTTATAGATAATAGAGTTAAAGATGAAATTCAAAGGAGTGCAATGTTGAGTAGCTATTGTGGCAAACAAAAGTAAAATGTAAACAGGAAAAAAAGTTAAAAATTCTTTTTGGAAGACTAGTAGAATCAATTGATTTTTATAAGGTGGGCAAGACAATTCAGTGGAAGAAGAGCGGTCTTCTGGTTTTTTTGTTTGTTTTTTGAGAGAGAGAGAGCGAGCAAGCATGAATGGGGGAGAGGCAGCGGGAGAGGGAAAGAGAGAATTGTAAGCAGGCTCCGTGCTGTCAGCAAGGAGCCAGATGAGGGGCTGGATCTCATGAACTGTGAGATCATGGCTTGAGCTGAAATCACGAGTCAGACGCTTACCTGCTAAGGCACCTGGGTGCCCCAAGAATAGTCTTTTCAATAAATGGTAGAGAGACAATTGGATATCTAAAGTCAGAAGAATGAAGTTGGACTCTTACCTCAAGCCATACAATGAAATTAACATAAAATGGATCACAGACCTGAACGTAGGGGGTAAAACTATAAAACCCCTGTAAGAACATAAGAGTAAATTTTCATGATCTTAGGTTAGGCAATGGTTTCTTCGATACAACACGAAAAGCTTAAGCATAAGAATAATAAAGTAGATAAATTGGAACTTCATCAGTTAAAACTTCTGTGTAAATAAATAAATAAATAAATCTTCTGTGTTTCCAAAGACACCCTAAAGGAAGGGGAAACACAACTCACAGAATGGGAGAAAAAAATTGTAA